AACCAATCCCTTCGTTTTCTAAGCTTTCGTGCAAGAGGGAAATTGAAGTAACAGCCACTTTTGCTACATTTCAATATAACGATAACATTATTCATAAACTCAAGAGCTCCAAAGCTGACGTTTCGAGCGTTAGCCCTTCGTCAGAGCGTATGACAAAGAGCTAAGTTTGAAACTCTTTCCGGTGGCCAATTTACGTCATCAACTCAGTTGATAATACTAAATTACCTTATCCACTATAATCCAAGCAAATGAACTCTATTTCACTTGAAATTACCCTGTTTCACTATCCCAATGACGCAGCACCACATTTTCTTAGAAACGTACCCCTTTCTAGTGGATTAGACTGATTTGGAATAAATTGTTTTGACGAATTTGATTGTAGTACTTTGAAGTTAAAACTAGTAGATTAGGTTGGATTGTAGAGGGTCAGAAAAGGGCTAGCTAGAATTTCTTAGGTGAATGAGAGTGGATCTGGGTTGGATTAGATTGTAGTAGATAGCAATGGAGTTTACTGAGAAGAATTTCGCCGGCTTTTCCACGCACAAAGTCATACAAGTAAAGTTGCATTCATTTTATTGCACAATCAACTAAGATATCTTGCTGCAATGGACACAAGCATTCATTGCCTAACTCTAAGCCTATGGCGAATAAACTTTCACCTCAGTGATAAATTTGAAATGCTAACCTACATTTATGTTTCGTCTGAAATTAGGGCTTTGTATGCATGTTTTACTGGGGTCTAAAAGTGTGCTAGAGTTCCTTTTTTTGGGGCTTTCGTTGTCAAAGATTGTTCGTTTGATCAGAAACGTTAGGTAAGCTGTTGTTCATTCGTACAATTCTCTTGAAAGTAGGTCAGGATTCCGGTACAGTCAGTTGGTTTACAAGTTAGTGCTTCGTTAGAATCAGAGTTAGAGTTAGATAGAAGTGGCGAGATTCAGAGTTTGCCACATAGTGATTAAAGAAAAGAGTTGAATTTATATTAAACAGACCTGTGGTAGAGAACAGGGATTAAAGAAGACCGTAAAGGACAAGGAGTCTCCAGTGCCTTCCCCTTTGCGTTTGACGTTCTTTAGCTAAATTTCACCTATCTGTGCCTTACCCATACTTTAAAATTGACATCAAATAGGTATGAAGTTATAACATCAGTTTAAACGCACTTAACTGGGAATTCGTTGAGCGGAACGAAAGAGAAATTCCGGAAATTTTTATCATAGTAACACGACGTTGGTAAGAAAAGTAGTCGTCATGCGTCGCCTTTCATTTTTGCAATAAGTATATGTTTTAATATGAATCTGGGTAAACAAGCATGAGTCAATATAAATTTGGTCAGGTTAGTATGTAACATTATGAATGACAAATTTATACAGCATATTAAGTAACTTATTTTTACTGAAAATATGAAGGAGATCATAAACTCAGGTTATTATCTCTTGAAAGAAGTTAACCTTCTACATTACAATGATGGGATTTGTAGCAAAATGAACCTTAACTTTCATCCTTTTTTCGGCTTCCCCTTTTCAATGATTTTAAACTAAGACCTTCATTACTTGGAAACGTGGTATTGAGAGAAAGAACTGAATTCTTTATTACTCGAAATTATTGAAAGGGAAAAATGGACTGCATGCAGAAGGACAGGATAAAAGAGCCGCCATTTCGTGTTTTAAAAAATTGAGGTCTCGTAAGGGGATTTTTGATGTCGCTTTATCGCTCGATTGCCGACACGCCTGTTCGGTTTGTTTGGTTAGGGGCAAATGTGACACTAGAATTGTTTTTATTCCTTAGAGAATTGGTGGCGAATTGTCTAAGTTGAAATAAATGCATATTTTTCCTAGTATGAATGATGAGGGTGTCACACAAACATTTCATTGATAAATTTGTGAATGAGTGGGAACATATAAACTGATTAAAAAAATTCGACATAGGAACAACCTTAAAGTGAAGATTCGGATGAATTGATGGTGGAACGTGTTTGAATGAGCAATTGTAAAAACTTTCCTCGTTTTGAAATGTCTCTTCTCAAATCAATTCAAATCGTAGTATGACTGATATCGTGGAAACTCGCTCTTTGTTCTTTGTTTTTTAATACAGAAACGAGGTGTTATTAAAGAATTAGGAAAATGCGCAATTCACCGAGAGATATGAAGTTGCACCAACATACTACCCGTTTGTAATATCTACAATCTGTGTGACATAAAAACTTAGGGTAGAGGTGTTATCTCTTAAAATCTAGTATACGAAGAAAGGTCGTAAAATACAATTTCAAAAACATATTTTCTTCGTATTGCAACTTACTTGAAATGCGTCAGAGTTTTTCATAATAAAGGAAAGGGGAAGTGAGGTAGTTCCAAGACAAAACAAGCTATCCGACTTTGCTTTTAAAAATCAATAATAACAAAGAGATTTCATAATTGGTAGAGTTATGCATCTCATGGTTACTTACCAAGCAGGTGATATGTGGCGAACACAGCTATAACGGAGAGCTGAACAGTCGTTCTGTAGCTTTAAGCGAGGGTTCAATATGTTGTAAACGTTTGCGACGGACATTCGGTAACTCTGTTGTTCAATATATTGATTCTTAATGCATAACTTTGACATTATGTTTTGAAAGATGAATCAAATTATTCCACCTGCTTGAAGAACTCATTTAGGCAATTAGATATATTTGAATTAGGAAAATGAGCAACGTATTGTCCTAGCAACAGCCTATGGATTAAAAGAATTGCTATGCTATTTCGAAGTTTCAGAGATTTTTCAGTGATTTTGCAGCAATTGTGTTTAACCAATTTGGACTTAGAAGAGAGGAAAGTCAGTTATGGTGAGGCTAACGTGTTGCGCCATATTGGCTCAGATTTTTCTAAAGCAACATAAAGTATTTTCATAAATTAATGATATCTGTTTTTCGAATTCCCAGTCGGGTAAATGGCAATAAACCTTTGAAGACCATGAATCGTAATGAAATCAATTAACTCTTCAGCGCCATCTTGCTGTTTCATATTTCAGTGATTGTTGTGTTGCCACGCACATCAAATGTTAATTTTTTTATTATTAACTCAGCGGGAAAACTCCCGTGGGTAGTGATGATCTGTCACTTACATCTGACGGATACTTCAGCATCCGTTTTTAGAAGAGAGAGAGTAAAATTATTGAGGCAAATGAACGATTTATATCAATGATGTGGACAGATCCTCGAGACTAAGTTCTTATCCCTGAGCTTGTTAACTTTTGGTGAGCCCGTTTCATTTTCTTTTTGGAGGATGGAGAGCGGCTGTATACGAGCGAGCAAAGGTGTTTTTGCTTTGCGGGAGTTACCAAATTCAAAAAGAGTCATATGAAGTACGGTTTCATCTTCTCCATCAACGATGAATTAATTCAAGTCCAGGAAATCGTACATTTCCATCTAGACTGAAGGTTCAAGCTTTTTTTAAAATAGAGCATCATAACAATATTTTCCTGATGATTGGAGAATTTTCTGTGGGCTTGCTCGCCGGGACAGGTACAAGTCGATCAATTATACGTTGGGAATTAATTAGAACCTAGGATCAATTAGCCTCTGATACTCGCTGGTCTTCATAAAAAAGTCATCCGCATTATCATATCATGGTCAAGGCTTGTCTAACTCTCAGCAAACCGGAAGAAAATTTTTGCACTTATAGAAATCATATTGTCACAATGTTTTATTTGGGGATATAATGTTTCTATTACACGTAATCTAAGTATTGAAATATTACGTCTTCATTGGTCAATGATGAGGGGGACCGGATCCTACTCGGTTTCTCTAGCCTGCAGGCTCTCCACTTCCAGCATCCTCGCACTCGACATTGTTCGGCCAATCACAGACAAGTATAGCAGGATTGAACTTAAGTCCCGCAGGACATGACATTTCATGTGTGGTACCAGCCATGTCACACATTATGAAACCAAAGCAGTTATTAGGATCAGCGTGCACCCCAGCTGCATGGCTTTGACAAAAATCTGGAAAAGAAATAAGGCAGAGTGAATAAGAGAATTCTTCCGCCAGAAGTTAGACCAAGGTGTAAAATAAGACATCCAGGTGAGTTTAGTGATGTTTTTTTTTAACGGCGGAATGTAAGGAATAGCTAAATAAGATACATTTTCCCGACTTTGACGAAGAGGACTTGGCCACCGGAAGGCGATGTAAAGAAATTCTTTGAAAGTCAATGATTGTGTTTGAGATTAACAATGAGGCCGCCTTTATCTTCGATGACGGCAAATAATGCGGTTTTAATCATATGTCCATACATGTAAAGAGATACGTCACGTAATTTTGAAGAACTTTTATTATCCCAGCAATAAATCTTCAGTAAATAATCATGCACCTCAAAGAAGAGAAACACTAAAGAGGGAAACGACAATTTAAATTACTAAACATGAAAAAATTAAGGTCGAAGTCTTCAAGATAGACAAACCGTGACGAATTTCCTTTTAACGGGTCCCCAATTTCGTTTTTTTTCACTTCTCCTCTGATGCTTCTGAGGTCTAATTTTGGCCCCGATGACACATTACACCAGAGCCAGTTCGACTGTTCGACTTTTCGGCCTTTTTGGCAAAGTACAGAACATTTGCAGTATTTATATCACCGAAGGCTTTTCTTACCTGAAGCTCTTTTCTCCAACACTCTTGACAATACACCTGTGCATAAGTAAACATACAGTCATTCAAGGCAATAGTATTTTTTTCATTTGATGCGTTCTAACTCTCCGAGGCAGAAAACAGTTTCACTCTAAGTCGTGAAGATGCATGAGAGTGATTATTGCAGTACTGAACTTTGCTCAAGCATGCGCAGAAGTGAGAATAAAGCCTGAAAGACTCCATCTAAGTCATGTAACAATGCCAATTCATTCATATATTGCCTTTGTGAGTATAATTCCCAAACAATAAGAGGGTGAGTTTATATTCGAACTTACAGACTAAAAGGAATGAATTCCTGACGAATACTTAAAATAAAGAAGAAGTAAACTCATTCGTTCGCATATAAAGCAAGATACAACTCCTTCGAGCTGCTCCGAGCTCCTTCAAGCTCCCTCGAACTATGGCTAAGCACATAGAAATTAACTTAACAGTTATTCACGGTCGTATTGTTGTAAACCGTTTGGCAAAGATATAATTTAGCAGAATCAGATGACATCGACGGTATAAAAAAGTTGCCTGCGTTTGCCTAAAAAGTGGTAAGATAGGCTAAAGAGACTGATGAATCGTCTCAATGAATATGGTGCTGAATGGTTCCCGATTTTAACCATATTTGTTTCAAAGAAACAGAGAAGAACAAAGATTTGTAAAACATAAATTAGACCGCGGTTTGCCGGTAACACTGCCGCTTTCTGAGTATGTGTACGTCTAGATTAATTCTAGATGCACTCTGATTTTTAGTCTTTCTGGAGCTGATTCCTGTACAGTAAGGTTTGAATATTAGTCTTAGGTTACAAAACAACATTATTTCACTGTGTCTACAAACCCGAACATAGCAGAAGAAGCAGTAAAATGTTTCCCCACAGTATCCACGGACTCTTCACAATCATCTTTGTTGTGAGGAATGTTACTCTGGGTACTACTATTTACTACCTTTTCCCAATTCCCTCCTGTTTAATGAAATCCTTCCCCATACATGCTCCTTATATTACAACTCCAGTTCAAGAACTGCCAGATGCAATAACATCTGGAACGCCTGAATAAGCTGATGTGACAGAGTGTCCCGTTTTCGTGACAACTTTAATCTGTTCAATTAAATCTCACACGAAAATGTTTCATGCAGACCAGATGTCCAAATAAAACAGGAGAATCCTTATAATTTCTGATTTCAATAGTTCGTTATTGCTGGCATTTAGCAAGGGTATATATCCTCTTGTATATAGCTTAATGGTGTCTTAAAAGTGGCTGATATGTGGTTTCCGTTTAATGAAGCTATATCTGGGTGTAGCATTAATTCACGACCCTGATGGAAGACTGCGAAGCTTACCATAGTTAGCTAGAGGTGTCATTATATTGGCTAGCCTCCGTGTCCGGCCAGCGGTCATCATATTAGTACCTAGGCGGCCGCATATCAAATATAGGCTTTGATCATTATTCACGTGTGATGTGATTTAGTTTTAGAGTTCTTTTTGCTTCGGAATAAAACGTGTGCGTGTCTTACAATCTACGCCTCATGTTCTTAAACAAGAACTACAACAAGAGGGAATGGGAGAAATCTGTCCAAAGGGAGTGGGGGGGGGGGGTCAGAGGATTTTTGTTGTGTCACAATGAAAGTTAACTGATCACTGATCCCCACTAAGGCTCTGTATTATTCTCATGATACCCCCTCATTGGCAGTCAAATGACTATTGCCTGCCTCCCCTTCCACTCTACTGGTGACAACTGATCCTCTTATGCGCCCCCCCCCCTCCCCTGAATACTCTGTAATCCCCTCCGAAATCCTCTGACACCTTGGCGATAAATAAAGACAGGTCACTGAATGGACCGAGCTGCCAAATAATTTAAGTTGCCTTTTGGTAACTTGAGCGAAAACCGGATCGCAGAAAAAGTGCAAACGCTAATTATGAGCAACAAATAATTAGATATTTAGTACAGAAGCCCTGCTCAGCAGGGAGGAAGTGAGTGTATGCAATGATTCCTGTGAGTCAGGGGGATCGAAAGGCTAAATGTTTGTAAGTACGAGGGGGTCTTACCGGATATCTGGTCGACCCTTGTATCATACCTGAAGGTAGATTATATGCCTTATTTCTTCTTACCACACATCTCTTAGAGTAAGATAGTTATTATGATAGACTCGACAAAAATTCCCAATAGCATTTTCGATCGTGAAATGATCATGAAGTTGATAGGGAGTTTTGAAGGGTGGAATCGGTAATACAACTGCAAGTTGAGGTAGAATGTAGGATAAACGAGAAGTAGAGAATCCAAGACGAAAACAACGCTTTCAAGATTTCCTTCCAGTGAAATATTTAGTTCACCAACAAAATTATGAGAAGAGTTTCGTGAAATGACGCCCTGAGCAAAAACAAGATTCGACCTATTAGCGGTCTCACACTTTTCTATGAAGAAAAGCACCGTACCGTGCCATGAAAATTGTTCCAACTTTGTTGCTAATTGAGAGTACAGAGAAGCTTCAGGAGTTATAAATATTTATGATATTATGCTGGAAACTGGAATTCAAATGTCTTGCCCGTAGTCGAACTTGTCCTGAACTATTCCGTTCGACGTTGGATAGTCCAGTCCAATTTTTGACGGTCTATTCAGTTCTTCTGGTCGAGATTGAGTCCGTAAGTTCAAAGAATCAGCTGGTCAGCGGGTATATTTTTCAATATGGCGGCGTTTGCTGATCTGAACGTTCCCTTCCTCGATGATCCACGTGCAACTGAAAAACTCGTCGCTAAAGCTGTTAAGCTCGGTTACGAGACTATTGCAATCTCCAAAACCTATATATTCCAGAATGAGGTAGATAAAGGGAAAAAAAAAGGAAAGAGAAAGGTAAAAGACCACGTTGCTGTGACACCAATAGATTGGGATGCTCTTCCTTCCATTCAAGACATGAGAAAAAGAAACCCCAAGTTGAAGTTTTATTCGCGTATAACTGTACCACTAGAGGATCAAAGCCAAGTTGCAATAATTTCGAGCGAAGTTGTGCAGTCTTTTGATATTTTAGCCGTTCAGCCAACAACTGATAAACTTTATCAACAAGCTTGCAAGACGCTAGAAATTGACATTATTTCCTTTGATATGACGAGGAGGCTACCCTTTCACTTAAGGTTCCCAGCAATTCATGCAGCCGCTGAGCGTGGAGTACATTTTGAGATTATTTATTCGACTGCGTTGCGGAGTCCGTCGGAAAGAACAACAGTGTTGTCTATTGCTATGGACCTCGCAATTTTCACCAAGGGAAAAAACATCATCATAACAAGTGGAGCAGAGGACGTGCTTGATTTTCGTGGACCTTATGATATCGTCAATCTAGGAATGCTCTTTAAATTAAAGGAAGAACAATCAAAATCTGCTGTGACAAAAAACTGTAGAGCTGTTTTGTTTCATTCTGAGGCAAGAAAAGGCACAGAAAAGTCTATAATTTCAGGGAAGTTGTTAAATTTCCAAACTGATGAGAATGAAAGGAATTTAAACGGTACCTTTGGCAATGAAGATGAGGAAAGTAAAGATGCTGTCGACAAGAACAGTGTAACTGAAACTAATGGGAATGAAGATGGTGAGCCAGAGGAAAAGAGAGCAAAAATTCCATAGGTATTTTATTTAAAACAGTTTTAACACCAGAGTTGTGGTATCTTTATCAACTAAGTGTTCTTTAATTTTGCCAATGATATCCAGTAGATATTAATTAATGATCACTCTGAGAAAGAGTTATTCCACTTTGTCTATTAATAATAATGATTTGTGATGTATCTTGCACATTGCAGCTACACATACCCTCTGTGGATTTTTATATAGATAAGACAAGCACTAGGTTTAGCAGCCCCTATGCTTCACCATTAACCCTTTAACACCCAGATCAAATTTGTAATTCTCCTTACAGTCAACCATACAATTCTTATAATGTTAGTACAGAGAATTTAGTATTGGATCCACTAATTATCCCCAAATTGATATTTTTCTTTATTCTCATCACCTTTCTGGTTGATATTGTATTGATATTGTAAGGAGAAATTCTGTCCTGGTCACTTATGGGAGTTAAAGGGTTAAACAACTTACCAATAACAAGATAATAACTTGCAAGAGAAGGTCTTAAAAATTCAAAAAGCTTCATAGTCAATGCAATGTGCTACTAGTTTCAACAGCATGTAATAACGGCATTAACAACCTATAGGATGAGACAAAAATGAATTATGGGATTAATTTTTGATAACACAAATGTCATTTTGAATTCATCACTAACCTGGTGCAGGTTAAGGTGATTGGTTTTGTTAAGTTTTTGTGGGGGTTGAGAGGAGCAGTTGTAACATCTTCTGTTTTATTTTTTAATTAACAAGTTGCCAGAAGTCACAAAGTATGTCAGCTAATTACAAGAGTTTTGATGCAGTTTGGGAGTGGGCAATTCCAAGTGACACTGGAATTGCCAACTGTCCATCTTGTCTGCTCAGGTACCCAATCAAAAGTCAGGTTTCTCTATGTTTCACTTACCAGCAGAGTCAGCCAAAGAAGGAAACTCATTATATCATCAGTTGTATTTATAACAGATTACCAACTTTCAAGTTTCCATTTAATATCTACCATAATGCCAAGGAATATCCATTTATATATTTTCATTTTCATTCCATTTTTGCTGCTCTCTCCCCCACCTTTTGATGACTGCAACCAATTTGAAAATGTTTGTTTGGCTTCTATTTATAGTTAATCATGTAAGACTATCACCTAGTCTTTCATTGTCTCTAGGGATGTCATGCAGTGAATTTTGTTTGTAAGTGGCTCTAGGCAATGTTGCCTTGCAAGCATTCAAACCACCTCTATTTCCCAATGTTAGCCAAGCACAGTTGAGGTTCCACTTTTCAAGGACCCTCTCATTACAATTGTATCACAAGTGCCCAAATTTGCAAGAAGAGTTTAATGTGTATGTTGTGGTTCAATTTTATCCTTGGTTCAAATTTTATTTTCCTTTGTTTCAAACTCATTATCATATATTACAATAGCCAAAAACACAAAAGAAAATAAAATTTGATAAAATTGAACTAGAACATATACATACTGAACATTATAAATACAAGATGTAAAATTACTTTTCCATAACTTGAACACAAATAAAGCTACTATTCACTATATGAAAAGATTATTTTAACAGAGTGTGGTTCACATAAATGGATGCTGAAGACAACTATTGTCTCTGACATTAATTTTATTAACAAATGAAATAGCAAATAGTTAATCACTTTTAGATGTGAATAACTCATTTTTGTCATATGGTATATCAACAAATTCTTAGCATTTCATGGTAAGTGATAACTGAAAGTTCCTTTGCAAGACTTACATTGATGTGAATTTTTTTGTGTTGAGTAATATTGGTCTCTGGCATAACTATTTGGTAGGAAAGAGCTAAGTGGTAAATCTGTCTTTCTCAACCCTTGAACCCCAAGATCTCATTAGTAAATCTCCTTACTGTTTGCCAAACAGTTCTTGCAATGTTAGTTTGGAGAATTTGGGATTGGATCAACTTATAATGCCCTTACTGATATTTTTCTTCATTCTCGTCACTTATATGCTTGATATTGTATTGATATTGTAAGGAGAAATTCTGTCTTGGGCACTCATGGGAGTTAAGGGGTTAAACTTCTACTGTATTTGACACCATGTTCAATATGCTAATAACATACATGGCTACAACACAAGATATGCAGCTAAAAATAATTTTTACAAGCCTAAAGTGTGAGCTAATGTGGGTAAACAATCAATTTCTTACATGGTAATTGATATTTAGAATGATCTTCCACCATCTTTAACAGACTTAAGTGTAATTTCATTTCTATAGCAAGTCAAACATTATGTAGTGTCACAACAAGAAGAAATTTAGCTGCCTTCCCCTACAATTAGAAAAGTTAAACCAACTTTTCCTTTGTTGTATAAATTCAAATTTTGTTTATTTATATATTTATTTTGTCTGTGTTTTGGTTCTTTGTTTTTTTTCTTTACTAACTTGCTACCACCTGCAACTTGAAATGTATGGGGAGCTGATTTTTCAAATAAACCTCTGGTTTATTTAGCTCTCTGATTCACAGTGTAACATTACTAATAAAAACATTTCTAATCACTCAACAATGTTGTAAAATAGAGTAATTATAATAAATTAGTGTCATTGGTTTATGTGAATTACATGTTGTATTGTTGTCTTGTAGTTGTCTTCTCTATGAACTTTTGGTTCATTGGAAATAGATTCTAAGAGAAACCATTGCTTTTCCTGGGCAAACATAAGACAATAAGCATAGTGGGGACTGGGATCTGGGTCTTTAACAAGATACTGATGTACATGTAGGAGCCACAAGGTCAAAGCGCCCCTCATACTGTTGTTATTGCTAAATGGTACATCGGCCTTTTTTTAAGATATCCTCCATTCAGATTGAATTAAGATAAGTCTTAACCCTTTAAGTCCCACTAGTGACCTAGACAGAATTTGTCCTTACATTATCAGTACGATATCAAGCAGACAAGAAATGAGAATAAATATATCAATAAGGGGATTATTGGCTGATCCAATTCCAAATTCTCAAAACTAACATCACATAAATTATATGGCAGACGGTGAGGAGAATTACTTTTGAAATCTTGAGAGTCAAAGGTTTAATGTAGTACCCTGACTTTCTAGATATGGTAAAGAGTTTGCGATTCTGCTTACGTAAAATGACAGCTATCAGCCACTTGAAATTTCAGCCTTCTAGCCATGAGTTCATTAGAATAACAAAACAGAAGCAGGATCAACCTCTCTTTGGATTTCTTCTTTGTAAATTCTCAGAGGTACACTATCGGTTTCTCTTGTTGCTTTTTGTGAAAGGAGGCTAGCTGGCCCTTAGCTGTTCTCGTGCACCGTAAAAGTCTTAAAAATTGTTTTCGAAAACGAGTACTAGTGAAGCTGTACACAACTGGATTGATGCAAGAATTGAACATGGCTAATAAAATGGTGACTCTATGTAAACGACTGTACAATTCCTGGTTTGGAAGGGCGTGGGTCACAGTGTACATCACTAGGACTGGTACCCAACATATGGCGTAGATGATGCTAACAGAGATGACTACTAAGGTTGCCCTTTTTCTTTGCAAAATAACCATCTTCTGCAAAAGAGAGAGATAAAAACACTAGTAGTGGCTGTGCTATTTAAATATTTTCTGTATTTACACCTCTTCCCCGCTTGTTACATTTTTTTTTGGACGTCTTGGCCCCATACCCTCGAGCTGCATAAAAATAAGATCGAGAAAGGCCTGGTACTCAGGCAACATTTTTTATTTTGTTTCTCTTTCCGACGGAGATTCACAAGTGCCCCCTAGAGCTCCTCCGCCACGCTCTTATTACAGGGTGGGATAATCTATCAGCCTTCATTTGTTTGTCTTTGGAAGACGACTTGCTAAAACTTTCTAGAATGCAAGTTTTCATAAGCACTTACAGTAGCCGCAGATTTAACCCCAGGAGTTTTATTAAACCAAAGGTGGCAAACCACTTTTGAGTACCAATAACACATTGCAGTGATGGGCAGTGTTCCAGCAACTACGTCCCACCCTAAACTGTAAGCTATCGGCGATACGGGGCCAGGCCAATACTCTCCACAGGCTCCTGATTCCTCTTGATAGGTCACGGTCACAAGAAGAGGAATATTCCAAAGGAAGCCCGCCAACCAGCAGCCTGGGATGATGAATTTAAGTTTCCAGTTTGTAATTTCTCCACGGCCTGAAAGGGGCAGCACAACCGCTTGATATCTTAGAGAAATTGTCAAGAACGAGACAATAAAGATGAGTTGATCCGATACATTGCGGAACAGGTGAACTGTCCGTGAGGGACTGATGAACTAGTAATGTCATTTCGGCCACAAAAAAAGTGGAAGGGTGACCCTAGATACCAAGGCACAGTTGTATTAAGGGTGGATAACCCTATCCAACGGAAAAATCGCTATCCAGCGGATAAGTGATAGCAAAACGTACTGCGCTATCTACCGGATTTGTCCAGTGGATAGCGTTATCCGACCTTCGAACAACCGGGACCGGAACTGTTGGGTGGTGTCACATATTAGTTAAGTAGGCCGGGAAATTAGCAAAGAACATGTAAGTAGGAAGGAGGAAGGTATCCAATCGAGAGGATGGCTGCGTGTGTAGGCATTAGGTAGGGCAATAGGTAGATAGTTAGGTAGGTACGGTGAGTGTCTAAGATGGGTGGCATGATTGGTGGAGAAACCCCCCATTCAACATGATAAACAGAGATATTGTGATTAATCTCTTTTAAGTTACTTGAAAGTCCCGCTTTCCCTCCAAACAAGTTGCAAGAAATTAGAGACCATTTTGTTAACCTCAGGCAACACTGAAATGAAGGAGAGGAGTGGGGGAGATAAACTGGAGTTACAGAAAGATTTCAAGGTGTAGTAGAGCTTGTCATAACTTTTGTCACTCATCGTAGGTTGGATGGTCGAAAGATTGGTGGGTAGTTAGATAAGTGGGTCAGTAGTTTGGCAAGTAAGGTAGTAGCTGGTTGGTAGGTAGAGATGTCGGGTGGGTTAGGTCGGTGGGCAGCCGATAGGTAGCTGGAGCATGCTGAATATTTGGGGGATGCTTCGGATGAAACACTTCTCACCTTTCATACGAGATGGCAACTAAGTTGCATATTGATACAAGTGCTGCTGTCCATATCATAGGCCCCCCTGTGATGAACTTACACAATAAAGCCCCTGTGCTTCCAGTTGGGTGTTGATAAAAGGGTCCAAGAACGAACTGTAATGCCGTGAAAATGGCCACTGTCACATCTGCAACGGCCAAGTTTAGCAACAGGCGATTCATTGGTGTTTTCATGGACTTGTTTAAGAGTATTACGAGGATAACCATTGTGTTGCCAACAAGGTCCATCAGAACCATGACTGAGAAAGCTGCAACAAGACCAACGTCCCTCATTGGTGATAGATGAAAATCTGAAAGATTATAAATGAAGTTTATGCTATGTTGTACATCTAGTTAGTTTATTTTTGATAAGAATTTTCTTTCTATTTTTTAAGGGTTTCAGTTATCTGGCTCAGCGCGCACAGGAATAGTAGGTAGGAAATTCTCGAAAAGAGACTTTTCACCCATACACGAGGCAATTTTAGTCTGTATCCATTCAAATTTAAATTTACGCGTTCACTCAGCCTGAAAAATGTAGGTTGCTGATTACTTTTTATCGTGTGTCTTTTCAGAAATAATAATCGCAAAAGACGTCAAACTGCGCTGAAAATGTTAAAGACGCAATTACTTTAGGCTCGTGTGTCTTTTTGTTTTTTGATGTTTTTAATCGAATTGTTATCAGACGACCATTTAAACTATAGAACCGGCAAAGGCATTTTGACCTCAGTTTTCATGCTTTCCAGCTTCATTGGCTGTATAACTATAGCTCGTATTTGAATTTCTTTTGAGGATTTCCTCACAGATAAATATTTGGTCGAAGTCAAATTTATTTATAGTAATTCAGGGTTATCTTCAGTACTACATCAAAAACACAACTTTGACCTTCTGTAAAGGTTCAAAGCGGCGAATTTCATTCAGATTTCCTCATCAAAAGATTATAAACCAGCAACGATATATCTCCTTCTTCAGATTATTATTGTTATGTTCAATCAAATTAAAATTTAGGCCGACGGTTATCAATTTAGTTTGACTAAACTGATTCACACACCTTTCATAAATCCAGCTAAACAATTTTTAATGTATCTTAAGGATGGCATGAGAACATAACGCAAGCTTACAAGCGTTACTGACGATTCCGCGTGTAATCTTCATGTTAAGATAGGCTGATCCGATCCGAATTTTAACTGCCGTTTAGAAGCGATTCAGACGCTGTAACACCTCACATGAACGTAATGAATTTACTGAAATCGATGTGTATTATTTGAAATCACACGTCTGAACTGTGTCTTGTCAAACAGTATTCATTTACGACGCGATAAACTTTGGTTGCCCTCTACAAAATTTGGACATAAAAGTGCTACCAGCTAATATTCCTATATCTTCAGAGTTGAGAGATTCCCTTTATAAACAATAGTTTGAGGGGAAATGATATCGATTCTACTTTTGGAAGGAAACATTTCCATACATTATATTCATACTTTATATGCCAGATATTCACAGACAAAATACGAAGACAAACCTCAGTACTCTCCCTCTAGCTAGGGTATAAAAAGAGAACTACATGCTCTTTCATTCTTTCATTTTAGCCGTGATGATAATCTTCTGTACCAGTGTTCGTGCTGTATTCACTTACCGTGTTTCAAGATGAAATCTATTGCAACTCAAGGTTTTGCTGTGTCCTTCCTCTTTCTTCAAACCAACTTTGTTTATTCTGTATAAATTAATTCTATACAAAGCGATTGATATGAAGATTTTCCTCGGCTGTCGGCAATCATCAATAATCAGGAAACACATTCATTAATTTTTTGTTAATTCATTCTGACAAACTCAGTGGGATGGACGAGTAATCTGCCGTGTGTATGATTTATTTACAAGTAAAAACTAAATATTGATAGAGTTTTGATCAGTAGTGATGTGATCGACCAATTATCTGTCACTAGAAGACCCTATAGCAAAGTGTAAAATTGCCACGTTTTCCGGCTTCATTCCTAGGTGTCGTATCTGTTTTTAAGAAAGAAATCTCATCATATTTCGTTGTTTGTGTTATTTCGGATATGTCCTTTGCTCTGCGAGTCGAATTCATTGTCGAAGCTCTCATGTTAAAACATATCTTTCTCGGCAGATGTACCATGTAAGACACAGCTTGAATCAGAACGAAGCGAGATTGCAATCACTTCTTTATCACAAGCTACTTTAAATACTCTTCAGTTTTTTTTAACCATGTCATCTTGTCAATTTGTTTTTAATGTGGTTCGTTCCATCGGCCGATTGGTCATTGCTAAACGTTGTAAATTATGTCCGAAATCAGTCTGTGGCATAAATTACATTCCGATTAACGTAGGAGGGAAAAAGCTACTGTAAAAAGAGATGAAGAAGTGACATTTTATTTTTAAGTGTCGCTATCAAAACGTCCATTTCTTTGTTTAACTCGCGCGGCCATCGCTGATACTGACTGAATAATGTGCTTCCAGCATGTTTTTCAAATTTATAAATTTTCAACATAAAATATCTATGGCGCAAAATTTTGGATAATTTTTTAGCAGAAAAACTACCGAAATTCACCTCAAAATCGACAACAAAGAGTGTTTTTTCTGAAAGGAGATTTTCACAAGAGTTTTACATTTATTATGAAGTTAATTACGTTTTACGACTCCGTGTGACAAATTTAATTTTCCCAGTTGCGTTTTAAACAAATGTATTCAAAGCTGTATAAACAGCTTAGACAAACTATTGACATCTTGCTTTGATTCCATATTCGTAAATGTGTCCCGTAGCGCGTAGATATTTTTCTCAGGTTATTGCTCTGAGAGGGTAGACCGATTGTCACAAGACAATCCAGAAACCGGTCACCAAGCGGAAAGCCGTTTTTTAAAAGTTACTTTGTATTAGCTAATTATTTAATGACCTAGGACTGCGTAAATCCCAGTGGTTTTTGATCGTTGCATATAGTTTGTGAACCAAATTAAACCAGTGAGTGGTTGAAACTAAAAAGAGCTCGTGGAATTGCAGTTACCTTTCCTCGAAGGAAAATAAGGCAATCGTTTACATCTGCTAAATTTGTTTGTATCGTCGCATCCTTACGAGCGTTTCCTGTTTTTCGAGTAGATAAAATCAGCACATTTTGTCAAGGGTAGCTACGGAAATTTTTTTAATTGTAGTGCACTAGAGAATGAAAGACTCGCTCTCTGAATAACGCATGATTTCTAATAAATAGGAATTTCGTCAGCATCTTAACCATTACAAGTTTACAAATTGAGAAAAAAATACCGTTACAACTAATCATGCATGAAAAATGACGTAATACCGTGACGCTACTTAAACCTTTCGACTTCCAGGTGCAATTTATTTTTTTTCGTGCTTTTTGCCGAATCTTAGGGATCCCAGGGAATGCACTGAGTTTACCCACCATTAATTACTTTCCATTGTTAGATGTAGAACGTATTTTATCACAGTTATAATGGACGGGACATTACATCTTAAGTGCTTCTTAAAAGTTTAAACCTTACAACCTTAATCAAATTTCGCGAGAAGTTTCAATCAGGAAACATCTTCACTACTTATAAAAGAACTTTCAGTGCACATTTTCAAGTTTACTCTCATTGGCTTTTTCTATCAATCTTCGGTCTAATGACTTTTATATAGCGTTTAGACTAAATTTACATTAATTTTTTTTTAAACTGTCCAATAATAGTAAGATGCTAATAATTTCAAACCAAAACATATTTGTGAAACATCGTCAGGGTCTATTCTAACTAGAATCAAAACCAATACCAAAGTATTTACGATTTCCTCAAATGTAACGTTAGCCTAAATAGAATCTTGGTATCGGCCATAAATAGCACCGTCGGTAACGCTTTTTAGGAATATCACGTTACGGTCAAGCTCGTAACCTTGAATTTATTTGTCCGACTTCCAGCAGTTCCATTTCAGAGTACGTGCTGAGGAGTCTAATTTCTCTCTCTTGTGAATTCCGTTGAATATTGAAACATATCTCGTTTAAATGGGATTTTGAGTGCACAAAATGATTACAATTTTGTCAGTGATCTTTTTCGGAGGAACAGTTGCTTTGGCAAACAGGTAAGCTGCTGACTTACTGACTTTAAGAGCTCATGTTGTCATCGTTTTCAGAGTTCCTTGATAGATATCATTGATTCACTTATCGTCCTTATAACGATAGAATTGTGCATCTTCGATTCAACTGAATTAGAATCGTAAAGAAAGAGAAACCAGATCTGAAAAGTCAATTGATTTCCAAGCTATAGGATGGGTTGAAAACTCTCAAGTCGCGTTGGATACGCCGTTGTGTTACTGAAATATGAAATTGAGACCTTAGTTCGTTACATGTGCATGACTTCCTGTACAGCTGTGACGACTGCGTCCCAGCACGTCCCATTGTTCTGATGATAAATCTGTGCTGAAGCTATAGCGGAAGTCCGATATCAATTCTCCTCACGCCGATAGTAAGCGATTTGTCTTGCAATCGACCTTCTTTACTGTTAAGGCTCTTTCTTCCTTTAACAAGTGGAAAGTGAACTGATATAATTTTCGTTTCGAAAAATACCATAGCACTAGGTCACTCAAAATTCTACTCTTTCGCGTTAGCACTCGCACTCTGAATTCCTGTACCCTTTTAACAAAGGAAACTTGCTTAATTGCGCCCTGGTGGGGTTGAGCTTCCGCGCAAAATAAAATTATTAATGGATGAGGAATCTTTGAGGCATCATCAGCTGATGCAAATCGGAAGTAGGTAGCATTAGCATCGCTATTTTTGTGTACAAATATACTGATTAAAAAATACTTTAGCGGTTAAAGTATAGCAATTGCAATTTTTTTTTTCAAAACAGGTTTCGACCTGTAACTTCTTATAAAGAAATGCCATGGAAATTTTAGAGTAACGTTAAAGGTCCAACATGTGATTGATGTCTTGAGAGTTTTACTAGTTCCTGTAGATGAAGTGATCCATGGACCCGTGATTGATTAGTTTGTTAAACGAATTAATCTCTGGTCAATATATCAGTCACTCAAATAGGTAGCGGTTAACCATTTGAGTGATTGATATATTGACTGACCGATTAAATGACTGTGACTGATTAAGTTTTGGCGGACTGATTGACTGACGGCCTAATTGACTCACTCACTGACGAACTGACCAATGTTTCGACTGACCGTCGGACTAATTAGCTAACTGACGTATTAACTGACTGACGTATTAACTGACTAACTCACTGACTGACAGACCGACCAACCGACTGAATAAAAAGCAGGCTGCACTATTGACTCACTTATTAGCTGACTGCATGACTGACTGACTGAACTAACTTGTTGATTGCCTGATGAAATGATTTGTTGACTATCTAACTGACTGACAACTTGGCTTGCATCGCTGACTGGCTGAGTACCTGACTGACTAATTGGTCAATTGATTGATTAATTGACTGACTGACTGACTGACTTATTGCTTGATTGATTGACTGACTAGCAGACTAACTGAATGAATGAATGACTGATTGACTGACTGACTGACTGACTGACTGACTGACTGACTTACTGACTAACTGACTGACTGACTGACTGATTGACTGATTGACTGATTGACTGATTGACTGATTGACTGATTGACTGATTGACTGACTTACTGACTAACTGACTGACTGACTGACTTATTTCTTGATTGATTGACTGACTGGTCGACTAACTGACTGACTGACTGACTGACTGATTGACTGACTGACTGACTTACTGACTGACTGACTGACTGACTGATTGACTGACTGACTGACTTACTGACTAACTGACTGACTGACTGACTTATTGAATAACAGACCAACCAACTTTCTTTGCTCGGCTGAGGTGCTCACTTTGTACCCAACGGTGCATGCCAATAGTCGACTCTGTGGGTTTTCAGGTCTTGTGCCAAAGCGGAGAGGTGATTCTCTGAAACACCATATTCATGGTACAGATTCTTACGACATTCTCCCATACTGAGTATAATGGCATTGAAGCTTGATGAAGTGATTAAATTACTGATTGACTTATCTTTTTGTTTTTCTCTTATTCCTTGACCTCATAGTAACGCCCGACTGTTCATTACGGCTCCAAATATCTTTCATCTCGGTGTGGAGGAGACAGTATCAGTTATCATTTACGGCAGCGATAGGCCTGTCAGTGTGACAATGATTGCTCAGGATTTTCCTGATAAAAAAAGAAACTTGGCAGTCGCAAGTGGAGTTTTCATTAGTGGTAAATAGTATAAAAATATGACAATCATAAGTGTTCACTGCGGTTGAAAAAACGAATATAGAATCGATCCTCGCAGTTATGAACACTACTGAGCTAGTAGTTGCACCGGTATCGCAGGGGTCATGGGTTCAAATCTCGTACGGGCCTGAATTTTTTTCAGGCCTTATTTCAACAACTAGTTCAGTAGTGTTAATAACTGCGAGGATCGATTCCATATTCGTAGTATGAATTGAATAATATATTAGAGGTTAATATTTGCATTTAAGTAGCAAACGTTCAGGAAATATAATTGAGAAACTTTCACGGTTGTTTCCCTCATTCAAACACACTCTCATGTGAACTGAGGTTTTTGAAACAGGAGAGCATTATCAGTATTAACAAGGGATGACAGTTAAGAAGTTGGTAAACTATATCTGTAGCTAATAAAATGTATGATCTAGCATGCGCAATCTGAGCTACTGTTATTTTTTCTTCAATTTATTTCCACTTTTAGGTAATCAATTTGAGTCGTTTTTTTTATTCCACAGAGGTACCTAGTGTTTTGAAACTCAAGGTAACAAGATACACACTTGATGTAATGTAAATTTGTTCTTACTGATCTGGCAATGACGTACATTGTGACACTCCTTAAACCACTGTTACAGAGGGGTTTTCATGTGCGTATCTATCATTGAGACCATGACGTCTGCTCGTATTTTGAAGGATTATGGAGTTCAAGTTCAGGGTTCAACATAACTGAAAGATAATTATTTCTTTATGATTTAACCGTAAGGCAATCTGAAGATGCGATTGAAAACCTGTTTGATTTGTTCAATTCACGCTCTCCACATGCTTTAGACAAATGAAAAAAATTCGTTATCATCATTTAGTTGTCTTTCTTATTTGCTCGGAAGCAAGAACGTTCGAGTTGCAATAACTTTTCTCTCACTTGTGGTTTAATATTCATTTCACCCAGTTGGATCCAAAAGATTTTCCAGTGGATGTTACTGATGACAAAGATTTAGCCACTCATCGCTATGTCTCCCTTGTTGCAAAATCTAACGATAGCGACGTAACCACGAACAAGGAAGCAAAGGTGCTCGTTAGTTTTCTAGATGGCATTGTTCTTCTACAGACCGACAAGCCAATTTACACTCCACAACAAAGTAGCAGTTTGGAGTATGCTAAAGGTGAGACTGATATCATTTTTTCATTCGCCCAGTTGCCAACTGGGTGAATTTTCCTATCGTATATTTAGCCTGAAGTACTAAACAGCTATGAATCTCCCGGAACTGCATTTAAAGTTAGGCCCTAGTCCCTATAAGACCTCTGGAAGATGCATCTATTTGTCTCAATTTCTTTCATTCCTTTATGTGTGCGCAAGATTTTCCGCCAAGGGAGTTCCGAACAAAAGTCTTCTTGGGATTTAAGAACTCGTCAGATATCAGAATGTTTTCTTTTTATAAATTGCTAGTTTCGGAACTAGAGGTGCCACAAACTCCCATGCCCTCCCTCCCTTTCTTGATTACGCCTTTCTAGGTATTGTTTTCCACGTGCAAGGGGTGAACCCAATTCCAATTTCGATTTAGGGAGAAAGAATAAAAAAAATCTCAGCTCATGAAAAGTTCGGCGTATGTATCCAAGCCATGCAACATTTCAGTATGCTGGACTGATTGAATACCGGGTAAGGAAGTTCCAGAGTTTCAAACGCCTGAACTATGGAAGAGTCTCTTGGAAAGTTATGACTCTAACTAAAGGATTGTTTATTTTTTCAGTTAAAATACGGATCATATGCCTGGGATTCGATCTTAAACCCAAAAAGGAGAAAAAGGTGAGTAGTTTAATTTATTCACTTGGATGAAGATGATCGGAAAGTCACTTCATATAATAAAATACATCGATCACAGACTTCTGTTTGTACAAACCACTGAGTTTTGAACATGCCATTCACTTTCTTTCTTTTTATCGTCCTCTATAGGTGACAGTTATTGTTAAGGTAAGACAAATGAGAGTATTTAAAGACATACAGCAGTTAAAAATTTAAAGGAACCGATCAACTGATTTCGCCCGCCTCAATTATGAAAAGAGAAAACAGTCCCAAAGTTGTAAAGCAATATTTAGGCAGTAATGAAAACAATGTCGAAAAAATTCAGGCCCGTACGGGAATTTAACTCATGACCTTTGCGATACTGGTGCAGTACTCTGCCACCTGAGCTAACGAGCCAACTGGGAGCTGGTTATTATATAGGCTCGTAATAAATTCAGTCTTGAAGTGATGAATCGATGAAAATCATACCTGTGAACTGCGGATTAAGAATTACTGCGAAGCTTGCTTTCATATTCATTTCTTAATCCGCAGTTCTCATATATGATTTTCATATATTTATTGCCAAAGGTTTACCTATCTTCATAACCAGTCGTCAGTGATGAGTTGAGGTAGTGATGAGTCATTTTGTTTTACTTACATCGTCGTTATTTGAAGAATGCGTAAAAATCACTCATGTAAAGAATCCATTTCCATTTTAGAACCCTCAAGGTGTTGTGGTTCAACGATGGAAGGATCTGAGTACAGAAACTGGTAGGAAGTCTTTGGAAAATTTATGGTACCTTTCGACTGCATATGCTTGAAAACGAAGATGCTGTATCAGTTTTGTTTAATTTTCCTATCAAAAAACTCTCACTTAAGAAATAAAGGAAAGCTTTCAGAAGCAGAAACATGGAAGTAATCAAACATGTTGATTTTGTTTCGTCATGTTTTATCTCTAAGGTTTTTCTCTTTCAGGTTTTATTATCAAGATTTTTGGTCTTAGTGAGTTTGCGTTAACTGGTCAGTGGACTGTATTAGCACTTCATGGACATGAGGTGAATGCAACTAAAAGTTTATTGTTAATTTCTTTTTTGTCTGTTTCCCTTAAAAGTATGAAGGTTGATGCTTGTTCTCTATGGTGCTGATATAAGCAATTTTGTTTCACAGAACACTCAAAATGCCTCAATAAAGTTTGAAGTAAAAGAATACGGTAAGTGAGAACTTACATATGGGAGGAAATCTAATAATTCCCAATCGTTTAGAGCGTATTTCGATCGAATGTCTTAGAGCCAAAACCAAAGTAATTACAACGACCAATCAGATCAATACCAAGAGCCAATAAGAACGCATGATTTATTCAAGTTTTTTTTATCTGATTGGTTGTGAAAATGGCGCGAGTTTTCTGGACTAATCACGTAGCGAAGAAAATGAAAACCGAAGCAATATCGATGACTTATGACAGTCAATTGAAAATCGTTCTATTGCACTTCTCGTTCGCCAGCTGGGTGTCGCAGAAAAAACCTCTTTCACTTGCAATGCTATTTTAGCGACACTCAGGTACCGAGAAACACTTTTTGGGCAATGCAAAAAGCTGCATGGTGCAAAAAATATTATGAACACGTGGGAGAACTTTTTATCCCATTACTTCGAACTGCATTGCACAGCTATATAGGACACCCCAAAAATACAAGAAATCTGACATCCTGTGAAGTAATCTTATGAGTACTTTCGTCTTTGTTTCAATTTAGTTCTCCCAAAGTTCTCTGTCGAGATATCAGGACCAAAATATGTACTTCCTAATGTGAAAGTCATTGGCGTTTCCATTAGAGCCAAGTATGTTATTCAATTTTTTCTCTTTGTTTGAAGTCTCTGCACTCAAGTTTAATCCTAATAATAGATAGTATCGGAGAGTAGCAAGAGAAACATAAGTGCTGTGCTATTATATAAGTAAATCTGCAAATACTGAACTTTACCGAAGGATCAGAAACAACTATTTGACTGCCAAAGGTTAAACTATCACGGTGACTCAAGCTGAGTTAAAAAGCGTCCAGGGGGCGTTAATGACTCCCCGAGATTTCTACTTAATCAGCCAGAAGGTAAGGATAGCACTTTTCGACTGACTTGTCGCTCGCTTCATTGCATTATCTTTGCAGTAAGTTGGGAAGTAGTAGGAACTCTGATTGAATAAAAAGCCCTATCTTTTCCAAGTAACTATTGTGTCAGGAATACTGCCTCAGCTTCCTTTTGCCCAAATTACTCTTACTTTCACTTTTGTGTGGTGCAAGGTATTTTAACACATTTTCTTGTGTTTTTCAGATACACATACGGAAAGCCAGTTGATGGAAGAGTACTCGTCAAGTTTTCCATGGTAGGGGGACGTTTTAAAGACGTTTTGGTGAAGGAAATACCAGATCAGGTAACTGGAGTGGAACGTCGCAGCTACATAAAATAACTTTGACATTTATTTATAACCTCGACAGTTGTTTTTCTCTTTATTTATATATCTACTCATCTATCTATTATCCAATTTATGTGTTTATGCTTTAATTTATACATGTATGTGTTAGTGTACCCATTTCTTTCAAGAGGGTTCAGTACCATTCTGATTGAATAGGACTTAACCCTATCACCCCTTCGAATGACTGACCTCTAATTTTTCCCTTCTTAGTATCACCCTTGATTCAAGTATAAAGGTCACGAGAATAGAGGAAATGACCGTCAATTTTAGAAGCTGATTGTAAAACAAATTCTTCTTGTCAGTACCACAGATATAAAAAGAGAACAGTCATGAGAATATGACTACTAATGTCAGGGTTTGAAGGATAAAAATGCTTCCACAAACTCAGCTTATGAATTAACTTTTCCCATTATCCCACTAATCAAATTAACCAAACATATCCTAAAATATACTTCCTTGGGAAAAAGGAAAGGAGAATGGGGGGGGGGGGGGTTCAGTTTCTTATCTTAGTCTAAGTCTTTCAGTCGACCATGGAAATCCATGGAAATCCTGAGTGTTACTGCCCATGTTCACTAACCAGAAAAATTATCCAAAGCCACACCAGAAATCTCAACCATAATTACTGAGATGACAAAAAATTATTCACAGTTACAGGATGGTAAAGCTGACTTCATTGTCACTACTGACGACATTAAGACCACTCCTGGTCTTCCGTGGTTCCCGGATGGTCGGCGACTCCAGATCGAGGCCGATGTCATCGAGAAAACTTCTGGAAAGAAAGAAAGTGCGATAGACAATGGAATTTACTTTGTCAAGTCTCCCTTCAGGATTGATCACAAAGCGACCACTGAATTCTTCAAACCTGCGCTTCCTTTCCTAGTCAAGGTAGGGAAAAGATCTTACAATTCTTTAAAATATTACAAAAATTTGGATTTTATGATGTACCAAACCTTGAACTTGATAAGTCTCAATGCTGTCACTCCGTCATGGACTAAAGCACATGTTCTTTGAGCCAACAAAGTATGTTTCAAAGATTATTTAAACATGAAACTATGGTTTTCACTTTTCGTCCGGCTTATTAAAGGAACACGCCAAAGCAGAGCAACCGTAGTCTGAACAAATAAAACTTCAGTTTTCATCATCCCATGTAATACTGTAACATCTGATAGAATATCGCGTTGAACATCTCTTACGGTTCTTTGCTTTGTTGAATAAGCTTGGGTGATATCTGCTATACATCCAAGGCACTACATAAACTAAATCTAAACGAGCACAAAAAGTTTTGTTTCATTTTAAAAATATAACCTCGATTTCCTGTCGACATTGACAGGTCGATCTGAAATACCCGGATAAAACGCCGGCCCGTGGAATTCCAATGTCCATTTCGGTAACCGGAACTACACATTCTGGGAGCAAAATCAACATAGGGAAGACTACGAGTAAGAAAGATAACGTGAATTTTGAAGACACATCTGACAATCAGGGAAGAGCTAATTTCGTCATCGATGTACCAGGAAATGTCAGAAAAATGAACATTCGGGTGAGTATTTAATAAAAGCATGCAAGGTTTTATACTTCAATTTTATTTTGGCTTGACTACTTAGCAAACGAATGTAATAATCCGGTATTAGAAGAGATATCAACTATTTTGCACACTGAGTTTGTTACAGTTGTAAATGCATGCGCATCACTTGGTATCTTTTAATACAGGTGGGGACAGAGAAAGACGATTTGGATCATAATACTTTTGTTGAGTTTGATGTTCATGCCTACAAGTCCCCTTCAAGAACATTTTTGTATGTCAGAGCAATCAGGGTAAGTTTTCCTTTGTATTTGCGTTTTATGTCTTTCCTGGACCTTAATAGTTGTCCAATCTTGTTCATTCAATGAGCATTTTGATGCACGCCCATCTATCTCATGATCCCGGCTCTCTATCGCTATTACAAAAACCATAAAAGTTCTTCAACAACTGTTGGGTTGGAAACAGAGTTTCCTTTAAATATGGGAGTTCAATTGCTGTTTGTATGTTTATCTGTTTTCTTTGTCTTTGAATCGTTGTAACGAATAAGGAACCTTTTTTGTAATTTGCTGGAGCACTCTCACGTATTCCAAGATTGTACTTACAATTTGATTTCCACTGCAATATGCCATTTTTCCACCTTAGGAAAAGCAGTATTATAATTGTGATGTGTTTGTTAACAAGAACGCCTCCAAGATTACTTTCATGGTAAGCGCATGGTTGCTTTACGGAACTCTTCTTCATAAGCTAGATGGGTCAGATATCAATAGTCAGTTCATCACAAGCATGCAATCAACAAAGATCTGAGCCCTTAAAGATGATTTGAACTTATAACACTAGAAGTGGGGAACTCTGAAAGTGAGCAACAGAATAATTGTGGCAATAGGCCCATATTATTGGTTAATGCATTTTACCTCCAGTTGATATCAGCACCAAACGCGAAAAACGTCCTCAAGTGGTGAGAAGAAAGAAAGATAGATAAAGTTAGTTGAAAGAAAGGATCATTCTTCCTTATACACTCTCAATTACATTTGGAAATAATTCCATAACGAGGACATAAATATTTTCGTTGATAAGTTGTACAAAGAGGCATCGCATTATGCTAACATTGCACTTGTTTCACGTCAACTTAATGTGTTGCAGTTTGATTTTCATGTGACTCTCCCACCCCTATCTCATTTCAAACAATTTTTTTTTCATCAGGTAATTACGCGCGGTAGGATACTTCGCCAATGGGTCAAAGTCCAAAGGGTAGGGGTGATATCCAGCTTCCGGTTTAAGATTCTTCCAGAAATGTCTCCATCATCACGTCTAGTGGTCTTCTTCATCGGAGAGAACGGTGAAGTTGTTACAGACAGTGTATTGCTTGAAATTGACGATGGACTACCAAATAAGGTAGATCATATTTTTATGAGAGGGGTCAAAAACCATTTCAAAGATACCTTTGTGACAAAATAAGGGGACAAGCGTGCATGGGACATATTTCACATGAACTTTATGATTTAAGATGCTTTACACCTCCAATAGCACAGAGATAAGAAGTGCCGAGTCTTTATAGCCAAGATGTTTTATGATACTGGACTTTGCTACATGGACGCTTTGGTTACTCTTCTAATCAGGCGAGACCTCTGAGTACACTAGAAATCATGCAAGTTTCATCACTGACATAGATTTGGTGCGTCTAGCGATACAAACATTTAATGACAGCCGAGTTGATAACATAAATTGGCCGCCGTAAAGAGTTCAAAAGCTGACGTTTTGAGCGTTAGCCCTTTGTCAGAGCGAAGACGAAGAGCTAGCGCTCGAAACGTCAGCTTTGAAACTCTTTGCGGTGGCCAATTTATGTTATCAACTCATTTGATAATACCAAATTACCCTGTTATACTCTCCCACCGATGCAACACCATAGTTTCTTTAGAAACTTGCCCCTTTATTCAATGACAGCCTATATTTAGCAATCGTATAACGCTGTCACTTCAGATCAGAAAACCCGTTAATGTAAACCACACCAGGAGTGTAGGTCGGGGAGGGGAAGGGGGCAAAGTAGCGTCTCACTGGCTTTCAGGGTAATACTAGTTTAAGCATTGAAAGAGAGAATAAAATGAGTTCACTTTATTCTCTCTTGAACAATGATTCATCAGTTTATCACATGTAATTACCCCCTTGAGCTGCGCCCTTTATACTTAGAAAAAATATTGTTCTCAGAATTAATTTATGATATTGCGTTTACTTGCTCTTGTATTTGGCCACTGATATTGTGAGCCTCTTTCCGCAGGTTGAGTTCCACGATGAATCACCGGGTAAACAAATTGATCCAGGTGTTCCTTACAAGATCCAGTTATCGGCGACTCCTGGGACGAGAGTCGCACTTTTAGCTGTCGACAAAAGTGTCTACATCCTGAGAAACCGAGAAAAGCTCAACAAGAAAAGGGTAGGGAAGAAGCAGTAAAACAATTTTGTTGTTTGTAATGGGTCCACGATCATAAACGGTTGCAAGAGACTAATATATAGTGAATGATCAAAAGTTGTTACCAGAATAACTGCAGCAAAAATGAACGCAAACAAACAAATAACGAACTGAAATGCGTTAGTTCATTGTTGTTCTACGCTCATGCAGTTTTGTAAGCTATTTTGCTGTGGAGGCTTAGAAGGGGTGATGTTGGAGCAGAAAAATTTTCGTCTAAGTGAAATAAAACCGAACATGTATGCCCAGGTGATGTTCGGGAGCGGGCCGTAAAGCTTAAGAGCTTTATTATATATTTTATGACTCTGTCTTAGAGAGGACTTAGAGTTGGGATGCCTGCAAACTCTCGACGTTTCATGCACTTTTAGGTGTTAAATACCATGGAGTCCCTCGACCTAGGATGTGGCGTAGGATCTGGTAGCGATAGCCAGGATGTATTCTATGTAAGTAGAACAATTTATGAATAATTTTGAACATTTCTCTTACGCAGGATTTCATAATTAAATATTTGTTGAACACTTTGAGGAGATTCACCACGGGGTTGGCCGCTAAAAATTTAGCTGTCAGGCGTTAAACTTGACAAATTCTAACAGATAGTCGTTAAAAAAATTAACCGTTATAAAAGTTTTGGTCACAAAAATGGAATGATATTAACCGTTAGCCATAAAATAGCCAAAATTTTAATTTTTTTAATTTTTTAGAGCAGGTGCAAACCGTTGACTGCTTTTGCGATTGCGCCTGGACTCTTTGCGTTTTGAAAATTATTAATGAAAAGCCCCCGCAGAGCAGAAAGGGGATCCATTGAATTTTCTCTTCCGTGAACGACTCCGATTTACAATTAAGAATTTTTGCAACTGCTTTAGTAAGACCTAGTAACAAATTATCCGGACAAAGTAATTTCTCTCAAAACCACTTTGCCTCGAACGCAAAGACGACATTTATATAACTTGGATCTCGTAGAATGTTAAGCACTTTGGAGGTTTCGAAAGAATTCCACTGGTGAACATTATCTCACCATAAAGGATTATGTACGTTGCTCAATGCATTCTAATATTTTAATAGCTCAAAAAATCTTTAATTACAGAAAAGTGGAACTGTTGTAATCACAAACACAAACATTGCAAGCAGAGGACGTTCTGGTATGCCAAGAACCTTTCCGTATGTAGACATGTAATACGTGACCTTTTAATTTCCCAAAATAACTTGATGATATACATTAAACCATAAAAAACCGCTTTTAATTATGCATTAGAAGTAGTAAAGACTGAAATTTTTTTTTAAATTAAATGTACGCTTGCACCTTTGCACATCTTCTCAACTTCTATTCCATATCAGTTAACAAGTCATTTCCCCTTGGCTGAGAGAAAGGGGAGAAATCCCTTTAACTCATTGACGACAATGTTAACTGAAATAATAATCATAACTAGGATGGTGATAAAGATATAAAGGTAATAATAATGATACTAATCATAGTTCGTTTTCATTTCCTTTTTAGAATTTTCCTGTCCTCAACCAAAAAGCAAACGGGAAAGGCGGTCAACCACAGGTAAAGAAGTTTTAAAGAAGTTTGATATTCTTCTTAGCCTGTATGATCTCTTCGGTTTTTCCTTATAACGACAATCAATTGAAACGCGCTTAACGAGCTTCGTAAATACGTTGGTAGACATAAGTATCACAGGAGACCCGCCTTTCTTTTTTTTCTGACTGTTCTTGATAGACAGACATTTATGCACCCCAGGAATATTTATTGCTACACTTGAATAACTTGTTTCTGACAGGTTTTTCGCGGGTTAAAAACTGCGAATGACAGACATATGAAAAGACTTGCTAGGTTTTAGGGCTATTAACGTTATTACGCCCTAGAAGAGCTTGAAGAAAGGGTGATAATGTTAAGGTTGGGATGTGAGTGATAGCGCACGAAGCCGTCAATGTTGCAATGTCTTTTCTTCTTTAGATCTGACTCAGTGTTGTAAAAGAGGTCAGATACCCACAAGAGCGACCTGTATGCTACGAGCCAAGTATTTTTTTGCTAGTGCCAGCAAAGATTGCAGAGAAGAATTTCTCCAGTGCTGCTTTAATTTTACTGGGGAAAAAGGTAGAATTGTTTACATAAGCATTCTTTCAGTAAGGACGCTTTTTAATCCTCAACAGAATAAATACCGCCATTGATCAGAAATGCCCAGTTTTTCGGTCATGTGCTTCATTGCACACGCTAATTGAAGTGGTTTGGCTAAAGAAGTACCAACATTCTTTCATACTTTTTTATTGTCGTGTATACCTGGACAGTTCTCACTTACGATAAACAACTTTAGTTCTAATCTCACGCTGTGTTCAGACGTATCCGATGCAATCTCCAACGCAAAAAAGTTGAGTAAAAAACCCAGATTATTTGAACTTCTACCACTGTTAGTTAATAATTAGTATTGAAGTATTCATTCTCGTCTAGCGACTTAACACTTCTTGTGTGGACCACGAGGTTTCGATTGCATACTGGGTCAACTGAGTACGCGTCATCCCACAAAGCATGATGCCCTACTATGATTGGTCAGTATTTATCAGCTGTAACTGACGCATTTGGAAGATATTTTGCCTCAGCAGTGCGCTGTCTTACAGTTCTCCTGTTCTTTTTTTTTTCTTGATCGTGGATATCGTCCTTGCTTATCGGATATCTGCTCCATTGTCCTTGTTCAAGTTGTTGAGATCTCTTTTCAAACGCCTCTTTTTCCCGGCATGCGTTGAAAAGAGGAACAAGATCAATAAACTTTATCACAGCTGTTGAACACTGGACAATCACACCGGTGCATAATGCTTTTGGAGGCGGCCCACAGTCAAACAATCTAATTGCCTAGAAAGATATTAGCAGTATGAAGCCATAACGTCTCGATCACATTTGAAGTGATTACATCATGACACATACAATGAAACTTCTTAGTGTATTCACGACAATGAATAACCACAAGCTTCGTTATTCTTAAGTAGTGTTCATTACTGTGAAGATCGCATGTGTATTCATTTCTTCATCCGCATTTCACATACATGATTTTCATATATTTATAGTCATTGATTCACCACTTCACGGGTCTATTACGAACCAACATAATGATCAGCTCCTAGTTGGCATGTCAGCTCATTTGGTAGAGCACTGCAGAGGTCATGGGTTCAAATCCCGTACAGGCCTGAATTTTTTTCGAGCCTTATTTTTACTACTGCTTCAGTATTGTTCTTCAATGCGAAGGTCGCTTTCACATTCACTTCTTTACTTTGTCGATTTGTTTACCAGACCCTAGAAAGACTGAAGTAAGAGTTCGTGCAAGATCATTTAGACAGTCTGACGATGAATTTGAAGATGAAGAAATCAGTCAGGGGCAAATAAGACAATATTTTCCTGAAACTTGGATATTCATGGACGATGTTGTTGGGTACGTGAATTCATTTCTTGATAACATATCTTGACTTATAATGCTAATGTATAACGTAGATTGAATAAGCACCCGTGCACTGAAAGGTGGGGCGCTTATGGAGGAAGGGCGCTTGATTAAGGGGGAGGGGGGCTTTATCATTCACCAGTACTGATGCACTGATTCCACTGTCGTTGAGGTTTAAAAAGTTGTAAATAAAGTGGAAATTAAAATTAAAAGGTTTTCCTTGTATCCCCACTATTTAAGATAGTGAGGGAGGAGGGGGCACTTTTTCTAGGAGAGGGGGCGCTTGTTTTACATCATGGCTTGGGGGTGGGCGCTTATTGGGGGGGGAGAGCTTATTCGAGGAAATATGGTATAAATATTCTATGGTAAAAATGTTTCAAGGTTTGTTTCTATTTCAATTTAAGCTGGAATCAAAGACATCCGTTTGCTTAGTAGAACTTATGAGAAAAATTTAGTGACTATATTTCCTGGGATTAACGCGAAGTGAAAGTGAACAAAGCGAATGTCAGAATTGAAGTGAAGATGGGTTAATTCATTCTCTGAGTCATTTTACCTTGAGCATGACTTCTGGTGGGGTTATTGATTTATTATTGATTTATCAGTCTCTGCTACCGACAACTCTCTTATCCAGGACAACCTTTACCCGGATGATCAGTTTCCATGATCAGATAAATATGTAATAGCACCCTGCGTTCGTCAGGGAAACATAACGTTGATTTTCCTTTTTTTTAAAGTGTTTTCCTTGCTTCTTCCTCGTTGAACTTGCCAGAATAACCATTCTCTTTTCTCATAGCCCTGACGGGAAATTTCATCTTGATACAAACCTACCAGATACCATCACCACCTGGGTTGTTCAAGCTGTTGGAATTTCAAACCAGACAGGGTTAGGAGTTGCTCGTCCATTGAACATCCAAGCTTTTAAGAATTTCTTCGTTTCCCTTCGTCTTCCATATTCTGTTCAGCGAGGAGAGCAGATCTCTGTGATTGCTACAGTCTTTAACTACGGGGACATAGAATTTAGGGTGAGAATGTGTTAGCTTGCCAATGACCTCTCAACTAAATTAAGAGAACTAACGTGCCTCCTTCCTAAAAAATTAACATTTTACATAATTGTTGAATCGGGAGGTAAGTTCCCTTTTTCTGATGATAGCATAATGCCTCTGGGTTCGATAACTGTTCGACTTCGTGAAGATTCTCTTTTCAAATCCTCTTGTAAAATATTCATGTGATTTTTTAGTTCCTTGTCGTTAAAAAGTTCTTCTTGAGCTTGGGACCAAAATATATGAAAGGAAATTGTAATTATGAACAAAACACCTGGACTTGTGCTGCGTTTCAGTTTTAATTTGCTTTTACGGTTTTACGAATAATAGGAGCTAGCAATGGAGGAAATGTTATTTTTTAAGCTGAAACAGCCTCTAAGGGAATTATACGCTTACACTATGAAAAGCGCGCCTCGCGACTCGAGGAGGGCGCTGATACAAGGGCTTAGACAGAGATTTAGACATAGGGACGAACGGAAGTATGGATGGATAAAGAAGTTAAGGATGGTTAAGGTATACGAAATTGGAGAAAATCAAATCAAAAAATCAAAAAAATTTCAAAACAGAAACGGGAATCTTCCATTACTCATGCGAATTGAACATTAGAGGATAAAGACTTCTTTTAAAGCGAAAGAAAGAATGAATAGAGAACTTTTTAAGGTGAGATGGCGAGTTTATTCCATGTGTCGACCTTATTATCTTATAGGTTAAAGTAAAGCTAGAAGAAAGCAAGGAGTTCTGTACCAATGCTCCCACAGGCCAAAAGTCAGCGGTACTAAACCTGAATGTAAAGGAAAACGATGCAGGATCTGTTACATTTCCAATAATACCCATCAAACTTGGAAAAGTGTCCATCAAAGTGATCGCTATAGCAGAAATTCTTGATGATGGACTATTTTTGGGTGAAATAATAGGCCCGACAGCCTTCGACACGGTGGTTCGCAGCATTCTTGTAGTGGTAAGGCCATTAGAGGTCTATTGTACGTTTGATGATTGCCTATGGATGACAGGGTTGTGCAGGATGTTGGAGACATGTTGCCAAGTTATTCTTTTTACTTATTTCTTCGCAGCCAGAAGGAGTTGAACGACGTATAACTCACTCATTTCTTCTTGATCCGCAAGGTATTCATTGTGAGGATTTATGAAATTCAACGAAGAAAGTGCATGCAGTTATTAGGCTGACCTAATGACGGTATACTGACTATATGATATACGAAATAATAACACAAAAACGGACAAACGGATTGACAGGGTGAAAAAATATCGGCATTAATTGTTCCATGCGCGATGTGAGTGTATCGGTAACGAGAGAACAATAGCGAGTGATAATAACAAGTGCACTATACAGAATCGTCTTATCTTCTAGCAAACCTGTTAAGCCCTGATAACTGGAAATGCGCATCGTTAAACTAGTTTAGAGAGGTAGTTGATACGGTTGATGAAACATGAAAGGGTCAGAATGGGTACAAATCAGATGGTTTGTCCCGATTCCGTTAATTCAATGTACCTTTATTTAAGGCGACAAGTTTACCTGACTACCTATGCGTTTTTTACAGGAGTGTTGCGCGACGAAGCACCAGGCAAAGTCAATACTTCTGCTCCTTCAACAGGGATAAAACATGATCGTAAGTAAAGTTATAGAACTCCGATGAGGTACCAATGTTTCATTCTATTTACACTAACCTTTCATTTATATGTAATGGACTATTTAAGCTTTATATCACAAGGGAACATTCCTTATTTTAAATGTCTTGAGCAGCAAATGTAAGAGTCCTTGATGTATCCTCAATCTATGCTCAGTGCTGCTTTAACTGTTTGTGGATTTCTTTGCGCTCTTCCACTCAAATTGACTTAACCATATCAAAGCTGATCATATTTAGCCTGAAATATTATTTACAACAGCTACATCAACTATTTTTTTCAAATTTTCCAGGAGTTGTCAACAACGGCATGCAGGTAGACAGTGTGTTTCTCAAAGTTCCTTCCCGGGCAATTCCAGGATCACTAAAAGCTGTTTTGTCACTCACAGGTGCTAAGATACACGACGATGGTTCAACAAGTTACTGTATTTTAGCGTCATGTAGGCCTCGCGCATCATTTCTACTCCTAATTCCAGCTCATTCAATTAGTATTCTAGTATCAGTGATATCAATAGGCATGATAACAGTTGGCAGAGGCTATATTGTTAATCTGAAGTCTATGTCATTCCAACCTGTAATGGCATTTAGAAAAAGAAACTTGTTGGTTGTGCTGTTCCCAGACAATATCCAAAGTAAGAATTTTTTGTGGCTGTAACTTTAGATTTACAGTCAGGTACCATTTCATTAGTGTAGCAAAGGTTAGAAAGTAGAGCATACTCTATTGATTATCGGTATTGTTATTTGGAAATGCCTGACATGGTGCTCTGCATTCTCAATTTTTAAAGCTATGTTTGGTTGCATCTGGGCGTCGTACCTTACAGAGTCCACATGCAAACGTTTTCAATTATACATTGGCTTTACACCGCACTTAAAAAAAATCCTTTGTCTTCTTTTCAAGGAAACCTCATTGGTCCGGTGGTGACAACTTTAATAACCGGTGGCTTGGAAAGCCTTCTTCACATGCCTATGGGTTGCGGAGAACAGACTATGATATTCCTGGCGCCCAATGTTTATGTAATGCAGTATCTGTTAGAAACTAGACAGGTTACCGCTGACATAGAATCGAAGGCTTACAGGATGATACAATCAGGTGAGTAACTGGGGTGGACAGAGTCGACGCATTTTCCAATATAATTAGTGACAGACTTATCTCAAAAATAAACTGCATGAAATAATTTTTTCTTCTAAAATAATATTTTCCAGGATATCAAAGGGCTCTTAATTACCGAAGGAAGGACAGGTCTTTCAGTGCATTTGGAGAGCATCGTCCTGGTAGCACTTGGTAAGTTGTGAAATACTCAGGAGAGCAAAACCCGTCTATAGGAAAGCACTTTGATGAACAGACAGGGCCGACAGAAAGGCAGACGGACGGGTAGGTAGGCAAACAGGTAGAAAGATGGAAAGAAAGACAACCAGACAAGGAGGAAAGACAGACTGACAGGCAGGTAGACAGACAAACAGGAAGGTAGGCAAACGTTTCGGCAGACAGATAGATAAACAGGCAGGCAGGCAAACGTTCCGGCAGATAGATGGACGGACAAACAGATAGACAAACAGGCAGGTAGGCAAACGTTCCGGTAGATAGATAGACGGACAGACACTGAGGCAGACAGACAGGCCAACCGAGTAGATTGGCAAACAGACAGACCAACATACTGATAGAAAAGAAACAGAAAATGTACGAGTGAATAAGACAAGCCAATAATCTTATGCCTTCGCTTAACAGGTTGACCGCTTTTGTGGCGAGGGTTCTCTGTGCGGCACAAAAGTTCGATGGTGTCGAAATCGACCAAGCTCTTATCTGTGATTCAGTTAGTTGGCTTCTGGAAAACCAGCGGCAAGATGGAGCTTTCCCTGAGGTTAAGGATATCATTCACAAATCCATGATGGTGGGTTTTCTGTAAACTTTTATGATAGCCTTTGTCCTAAATATCTAAGACTAAATGGTTCTTGTTGCTCGGATATGCCTCATATTTTACTGATTCTTTTGCACTCAAGAGCAGCTGTATTGGTTCCAAACTGTTTAAACATGATACAATGAAACGGCGTGCTTTTTATGTTTCATACGATGGCTTTGGACGCGTTATGTGTAGCTACTAAAATAGTCTCCTTTTTCGGGTGTAAGCATTTCTTTAAAATTAAGGTCGGTAAGTAACTGCCAAATTTAATTTTAAATTCATTTTTGTAAGTTATTTTCTCATCATCATAATTCAATTCTCATTGTTTAGGGTGGTACTCATGGCGATGTGGCAATGACTGCTTTTGTTTCAGTGTCCCTCCTCGAGTGTTCATGTCATGGGAAGGTAAAAAAAAAATTTCGTTTCCTGATTACATTTCCGTGATTATTATTTATTTAAATTATTTCTTCTTCCTAGAATAAGAGTCACAGGATTCAGAATGCTGTGGCTTTCATGGAATCAGAGTTGGATAGCATAAGTAAAGTTAACACTTTGGCGCTTACCACATACGCCTTAGCTTTAGCTGGCAGCAGGAAGAGCTCCAAAGCAAACGCAAAATTACTGCGGATGCAGACCTACGACAAAGGTACAAATAACTTTAGCTTTATGGAGCAAATTATGATTGAGGATAGATAGTTAATCAGAATTGCATTGGCTGTGCATCACCAAGCTTTTTGATTGGTTCAGAAAACTCGCACTATTTTTCTTACCTATCAGATACAATACCAAAGCTAAGCGCGATTTCATCGCTTGCGTTTTACGGCTCTTCGGGAAGTTTGCTTGTAACAATTGCGTCTGTTCTGATTGCTCGTTAAAATCACTTTAGTTTTGCTTTTAGAACTTTGGTCGAAATGGGCTTTAATTAAGGACTATATTACCACGTTTTTATTAACAGGAAAGAGTAGACATACCTATACGTTGCTAGATGTTTCCCACCATTATTTTTTCTTCAAGTTTGCATGGCTTTGCGTGTCGTGGCTTTCATCTAACAACACGGATAAAAAATGCTGAGGCCAGCGGCGAATTTCGATAATTTGTGCCTACTGATCAGCAACCGTCGGGTTCCAAAATCGTTTTTACTGACTGGAATTGTTCAATTTCAGACGAATCAACTCGTTATTGGGACGCAGGAAACCAAGCTTTAAACGTGGAAACAACCGCTTATGCACTGCTGGCTCAGATGGCCGTTGGAAGACTGAAGTTGGCGGGACCCATTGTCACGTGGCTTACCAGTCAAAGAGATCCTCAGGGAGGCTTTGCATCAACACAGGTTTGTTTTAGAAACCCTTGCCACTTATTCGTTATTTTTGTCATCGAGTGTTAATGAATTTTTTTTATTCACAACCGGATTCACGAGTTTTAGTTTATTAATGCCTCAAAGACTTTTCCATCGTTTCGCCGACAGTATTCTTGAAGTTTTTGACTAAAAGGATTGATCCTGAGATCATGCCTATAAAGATTTATACCTGTAGGTTACGATCTTAATGGAACGATATGGTACAATATTTAACAATTATTCACCGAAGTGGAGGTGGCTCGCTAATTATCCACCACTTCCACCGACATTAAGGTTAATAATTGTTTTCGTATATACCACACAGTTACCTAAAAAAGTTTATTTCTTTCCATATACTCATAATGGTCGAAATTTAAATTCTTGACGCGCGATTTTGTCTCATCGCTTATAATATTTGATATTCACTAATGAACTAGCCAATCAGCGCGCTAAGAGCACTTTTCACTCATGTGGTATATACAATATTATGCGAAAGAAGACAAAAATTGCGAAGACACCTGAGTTAAACGGAGTCTTTCCTTTTGAAATAATTTCTTTTTAAGCATTCTTCTTTCTCGTGTGAATTTTTATATTAATGAATTACCACACTCGATGAGTGTAGAAAGGAAATGCACATCACTCCTTTAATACTTAATAATTATTGATCATATATCCTGGTACCATTTTTAAGGACACTTGTGTTGCTCTGCAAGCGTTATCACAGTACAGCGAGAAAACTGCAGGGGCAAGCCTTGATTTGCGAGTGTCTATATCCTCTGAGAAGGATGCCAGCTGGAAAAGAAACTATCATATTGATCCAGACAACGCCCTGATACTCAGACAGGAGGAGGTGAGTTTGAGCTCAATTACGCAGACTGAATTGAAATGCAGTTTAGTACTTTGTCTTTCGTCACGATTTCTCAAAGTTCACGGGATTGTTTGATCTTGAAAATGTAACAGTTTTTTAAAACCTCCTCAGTATGTAACTTGTACTCCTGCTAAAGCGACTTTGGGATTTCAATAAGTGCAACGCAGAACGCAACAACGTTAGCAACCCATTGAGGATAGGTACATGTGACAGCTCGAGGGGCTTACGCTGGAAATGTCAGCTTTAGAAACACTTTACAGTGGTCAATTTACATCGTCACATCAGTTGATAAAGCTAAATTATCTTGAAATAGCCAGCACCGACGCAGCGCCGCAGTTTCTTTACAAATTTACCCCTTTGTTCAGTTTCTAAACTAAAACTAGTACTTTAGAGAAAGCTTTTGCCGCTAAGTCTTTTTCACGGCTGGATGTACATTCGCGTAAAATTGATTGACATCAAGTTTGTTTTCAACAGGTCACTCATTTACTAGGTGGAGAAGTGTTCATCGACTCGTTAGGAACTGGAGTGGGTCAACTTCAGGTGAAATGAGAAATACTTTTCATACTCCTACCAATCAAACATTTGTTAGAGCGTATTTCGACATAGGATCAAAAATCAAACCAAGGTAATCACGAAATAGAAGATTATGAGGAGTAAATGTCATATTGAATTCATAATAAATACGTGCAAACGGCTCAGGCGCGAGAAAGGGTGATTGAGTCGTGATTGGTTTCAGTTTTCCATCTAGAGGCTGAGAAGGGGTGGAAGTTTTCAGTAGAACAATCACTGAGCGAGGTAAAGAAAAACCAACGCAGTCCAAGGTTATGCTGGACGCTGCGTTAAAAAACTTCGCTTAACTGAGATAACAACTTAAGGCAATACCATAAAGTTGTAAAATCATGGTTTATCTGCCTACACAGAAGCTTGCCATTTTAAAAAAAGCTAAATTAGATTTCCTTGCAGATTGAAGTGCGCCACAACGTTCCGTCGCCTAAAAACGAAACTTGCTCGTTTGCTCTGAAGATTGAAGTAAGAGAGGAATTTAGAGAGGACAGTGATAAGGGCGTGCCAATTGCTGGACGCTCAAGGCAGAGAAGAGATGACGATATAAGAGAAAGAAAAGCCAAGAAATGCAGAGGAAATAAGAGGAAGAAAGCGTGCAAAAAGAGGAAGAAGAATAAAAAACATCATAAAAAACCAAAAACAGAGGCCAAACCGCCAGATACATTGCACCTCAGGATCTGTGCAAAGTAGGTTGTGTGCTTTTATTTACACTTCGTTATCAAAACTCTGACAAGAGGTTCATCTCCGTTAGACACATCCTTTATCGCTTTGCGCGGGAGCAACCTATTTGATAATCCCGCTGATTACTGTACACCGGCCCTTTCCTATTTAACATGTATGTGCGTAGTCCACAGATTGAATTTTGTTGTACTTCATTCACTTACTAACTGATGTCATCATAGATATCTGAAGGCCGGTAAATCTGGAATGACGATAATGGATATTGGTATTTTCTCTGGTTTTACTCCAGATAAAGATTCACTTGTCGAGGTAAATCGAAAAAAATTTCTCTTTGTTTGCGGAACTTCAGTTCCTTTGTCTTGCTCAGCGTTCAAATTTCAGGCATGCGCGAGGGGATCAATTTTGGCCGGCCGCGCGCTATTTCCCGCGCAAAATTTTAAAAGAAAGTGTAAGAAACAACTGCTGTCATGCAAAATATGCGAAGAAATTGAAACTTGTACAGAACTCCGTCAAGGAAATAAAAGTTGGGAATAGGAAAGGTCTCGACTTTCGAACTCAAATATTTTTAAGTTGACCTACCCATTTTTCTTTCGAGCTGTATTATAAAAGCTATCACATGACTTAGTGGTTTGTGTAGTTGCCCTTATGAGACGATTTGGTTCTAATTGCCTGAGAACACGCCACCAAGCTATTACAAGGTTTGCACATGTGCAGACGTTCGATTGCTGAGTGCTTTGGCAAACTTACTAATTTATGTTTACGTTGCGGGAGGACCAGCAGCCTTACGCCTTGCACGCTGCACTTAGGATTAAAAGGTCCAATATCAAATGCTGTGGCGTTACAGGTGGTACACCAGCATCTCAGCCAGCAGGTAGAACTATACCCTTAGCCGCCTTAAGCTACAGATATCGAGATAAGCGCCAGCAGATTTGAATTAGTCCGATTGCTTCCAAAGACCTAAATCTTATGTAGACCTAAATCTTATTTCTCGTGTTTTGCAGCTTATGAAAAACGTCCGGCCAACCGCGGAACGCTTTGAATTTTCTGACAGATCTGTGATATTATATGTCAGCGAGGTATTTGAAGTAACTCATTCGTTTGCTATGTTGACCTGTTACCAAATATTTTGTAAGTCAGCGAGGTCTTGAAAAGCAACTCTTAAGTCTGCTCGCTGTGACGTTTTTCAAAAAAGTTAATGGGTCGTTAAGTTGTGCAACAGATCAAAATTCATTTACTGAAATATTTTGATAAATGTAGCGCTCGTTTAATATAACTTGGGAGGGACTCTCACCAAACCCTTGATTCTTGTCGCAAAAACTTATCACTGTTCTCTTTAATAATTTTTATACTGTGTTCTTAAAAGTACATTTTTATTACCGTCTATCAGTTTTTTGAAGGAAATCATATTTTCTAGGAAAAAAACATTTTCTTCAATCATGAATTATTTTAGCTGCATACTCTAAACTCGTGTTTCGTTTATTTTGAAATCCTTGGTTTCCCCTCAGTTCATTGTAATCAAAGAAAACAAGAGTGTGAAATGGGTTGGTAAACTGACGGAAAGCTCTTTAATTTGTGGTATTTAATTTTAGTAACTTATATAAAAGAATGTTTATCCTCGTTTGCGTTTTTCATAGATTTCTAGTATCGATGAATTTTGTGCCACATTTACTGTGAAAAGAGAGTTTGATGTGGGAACAGTCCAACCAGTTCCTGTCAAAGTCTATGATTATTACAAACCAGGTGAATAAAAAGATAAAGGATGTAGTCAGTATTTTCCACAATAACTCAAGCGAGTTTTGAAATTCGCACGATCTGAATACGCTATATCTTGCTAGAGTCGACTGAGGCGAGGCGATTATGATGCTGATTACTGATAACATGATCAATAACGTTACCTTCGCGCACTTTTGATGCTTTCAAAAAACAAAAAAATTAATTGAATGAAAATACCGTCGCTTGAACAATCGCAAAGTTAATTATACTAAAACAGCTATTCTCACCCACGAAAAATACCGCTGGTAAAGTTGCATTTGGTCAGTAAGAAAATGTCTGTAAAGTTCATTTATAATTTTTCATTGCATTGGTTTGTGTCTTGTAATAGATGAATCATGTACAGAATTATATTCACCCTCGACGAGAAGCGCATTACTGGGAGGCATTTGTCAAGATGGTTATTGTAAATGCTCTCAAGGTATCGTCAACCGGCACAATCATTGCTACAGCATAATGTATTATGTTTTTATATTTATCAAACTTTAAGCGGAGTAGTTACCTAAACTGCTTATAACATCCTTCTGCTGTATACCCTAATGGTACCCTGGTAAAGGAGGTTTATCTCTTTGCTCATGTATTTTGAACTGTAATTCACAAGCTGCAAAAGCAACCTTTCTACCTCAAATTGCGAATCGTGATAGAGGACTTGAAGAAGAAGATGTAACTTTTGGTTCCTAATTACACTGGCTTTTATTGGAAACTTGAATAGGGGTCATTGTGTCGGTTTTTGGGAGATTATTTCGAATAAGATTCAGGACTAAGACATTCTGCACCCGAAACCTCACTTAGTCTTGTGTTCTGGTCTTTGTTTTCTGATGTCACCAACTTGGCGGCTTGGTTTTTCAATAATGCTTCTTTTTTGCCAGAGACTTCGTGTCACCTCCACTGTCGCCTTAGCGCATTTTGATTTATGGCTGCATCATATCAATTGTACCATGTCAACATTTCATTAGTAATAAGAGAGAGGGTAACTTTAGGGATTCTTTGTTTGCTTTTGCTTAAAAAATAGCGGCGAAATTATATATTTCGCGTTTGCGCATCTATTAAAACAGCACAAAAAGATTGAGAGCGTTTTTTTGCTGTTATTCTTCTTCAGATGACTGCTCGTCCTGTGTCCAGCGTGAATTCAAAGTTGAGGAGCTAAAGAAAAAAGCGTGCCTCGAATTTGACTTTGGTGAGATACTTGTAATGATAATGCAATTTTCTGTCTTAAAAAAAGGCTGAAGAATGATGTGAGCATGCTCAGAAGTCACAATATAAAACGTCAATAATACAACTGTTGCACCCTAACATCAGTACACATATTCTCCATACTGTTCGCTATACATTTCCTAGGGTGCTGACAAGGAGAATTTGTTTAATAATCAAGAGCTTCCTTAGTTGCTGATCATTTTCTTTGCTCTCGTCACTTTAATGTTTGATTCAGGGATGATATTGTCAGGAGAAATTAGCTACTAATCAATCTTAGCGGTCAAAGGGTAACCAGCTGTTTCAAAAAAAAATAATAACAAGTTATATAAAATAAATATTTGTATATGTTTCCTGGATTTCTTGCAGTGTTTCCTATACATTAATAAACTCCGTGTTCCCAAGTCAGAAATCTTTTGAACATGTCGTAATGCGCTTCTTCTTTATAAGAGATTACGATTACACATTACACTTTTACTAAGTTATTCTAGCTTAATCCATCATAAAAATCATAATTTCCTCGATTGTGATTGGTTTAAAGAACTATTTTCCACTAACTCACCTGTCAAGTTGTTATCGGAGAGTTTATTATCGGACAGTTTGTTGTCGGACAGTTCAATAAGCCAATCATATTCAAAGTTGGGGTTAAAATCAACCAATCACATTAAAAGTTGCAGTTTAAATCAACCAGTTGTCAGTCTTTTAATGCAAATTTTCCCTTTCTTTCATAACTTGGCTATTCCTGTTTCTCGGAAATTGTAATTTTTATGATTGATTGGTAAAAAGACTTTGTGTCGTCCAATTCGGTCCGTAATCGTACTCGTGATAAACAAATCAGACTCCCGCTGCACGGTCGTTCGATGTTGTTATCACTTGTATGGTTACAGACCCAATCGGTGGACACCACTCATTCCTATAACCATCACTAATTTACGTTGTTGTAAATGTATTATTATTTCTACAGCTTTTATTGGCGAAGTGATCCTGTTGGATGAGGTGGACACGAGAAAGCAGTCTTGGATCACGTATGAAATGAGGATAGACCAGGTAATCAAGAAAACTAAAACAAACTTCGCACAAGGAGACTTCATTGAGTTCAAGAAAAGAGCAGGATGTGCATGTCCTAAGCTGGTAGAGAGGAAAAACTATATGATCATGGCAAACGAAGATGGACCATTCTTTGTTTTTGACTCGAAATCTTTTGTAATTCCTTGGGAGAAGAGACGAAAAAACAAGAATATGTTGGATGATCTTCGTGCAAGAATAGGATTAGATCCTAGGTGTACATTGTAGAACTTAGTTTATCGTTTTTGTTTTGTACTGTTTTTTATACAAACTTTTTCAATGTTCATTTTTCAAATGTTAGAAAGGAAGAGAGAAAATGAAAAAGGGCAAATTATAGTTAGCTAATAAGATATCCTTTAAGTTAAATTACATTTTCCATATAATAAAACAAAACAATACAAATATAAGACTTAAATATGCTTGTTTTAAGCGTTTAGTTGTTACATTTTTGATTTGCGTGGGAACTGATCTCGCAAGAGCTCTAAAAGATAATCCATTGATTTGAGGCACTCTATAATTTCATAGGATTTTCATATTAGTTAAACAAGTAAAACAGCTATTGATGATCGTGTATGAAGCCCAAAAACAATGAAATGGGCTTGTTAATTGTGATTATGCAAAAAATCGGTCAGTTGGTACTATGCTTTCACGAGGTCAGAGTCGTGAAAGTCGAAGAAAACGTGCTTATGTGTGAAAGCCAGTTATTATAAATTATAAATTTTGTCAATTTGTCAAAGCTATTGGCTTCTATTTTTTCCCACCAAAAATTATAATGATAAAAAAAACACACAACTAGAGCCTGAGCAGAAATTAGTCTTTATAATGCGTTTTATTAAAGATTTGTTAAGTCTAACATCTGTCCTCGGACTTTTGGGAGCGCGTGAGTCTCAATTGTCTACGTTTCCAGAATAAAGACCGCTACGCAGAGTAGGACACGGCGAAGGCAACGAGATCGTGATGAATCAGAAGATTTTAAGGTAAAAAATGCAGCGGTAAATGAAAAGCAAGGTGACAATGAAAACGATTTTTCTCCTCACTATAACGACACAGGAATATATTGGAAAAACTGAATTTTTAATTTAAAATTTAAGAAGACCCTCAAACCAGCGGAAGTTTGAATTGCCGTGATAGGAGCGAACAATTCGTGTAGCTTAGGATGGTATCCCTTTGGGGCCAATTAGTATTGTTTCTGCAGACTTGCGTGTCTGTTAAATTTTTTCGAGTAATTTGCCCGCTGTCAGTGTTTTGGAAAATTATTACATTATCGAAGCCTTTGAGATGGAAACTTTGGAAATCTAAATTGCACGTCACAAAAACTCAAGACGGACGAAGTTTTGGCGCGTGAGCTATTTGTAATTTCCATTCGTGTTACAACTTTGCACTCGTGTTTCGTGAAAAAATGCACCCGATTTCAGCCCATCAGACGCGCGTAATTTTTTCATCTGTATAAATAACCTTCTTGCCTCACCTTTTAGCCAAAAATTCTTTTGTTTCTACTCTTTGAGTTGAAGTCGGAGACGCCAATTTAAATAATAGCAATCACGCACGTCATTTATGGAGTGGCCTAAACAAGGACGGAAAAATATACAGTTTAAGAATGAAAAAAATTTAATAACAAATAAAACATGTAAAATGCAAGAATTTCCGGAGTTGAAGACAGCAAGATACGGCTGACGTGGTTACAAAAGTCAAGCAGTCAGCTGCTTGTGATAGATAACGAAATTTAATTTCCCCAAAAGATTCCCAGCATGATAAGAATTTGGAGTCAACAAGGAAGTAAACACGTTGACCGAATTCGTCCATTGTTTTTCACTTGTGCGCATAATAATGCATGACACTTTGACGCTGAAAGCCCGTGCAAAAAAATTGGGCCAATCAGACATGATCCATGCACGTGGGTTTTCGTGGCCTTTCGTGAAGAGTAGCGTAGTGTTAACAGTCATTCCAAGATTTAGAAGAAGAGCTCGAGATGTTGAGAGCAAACTTCGACAGAGGAAAATTGTCAGTTTCTATGCACAATCATTCAACAGACATGCATAGCGCGTTATATGTGAATGGAAGGAGACGACTCAGACAGAGAAGGTTAGTAAGAAGTCACTTTTACAAGCATTTTTAAGTTTGGCTCGACCACGTGTAAATATGCGAAAATATGCGCCTTAGCCTTCTTTGTAAACTTCATACCACGTTGCTCTCAACAATTTCGACGTTCAACGCTCTAGTTCCCCATTGTAAAATCGGTTCTGTGGAGTTGAATATGCTATGTGTTTTTCGGGGATAGGAATAAAATCTGTTGCAACTTAAACTACACGTTTAATTAAGCAATCTAAATATTTCGGCTTAAATGATGGTGCTTGTAACGACCACAACGCTGATTTTAGTTCGAATCCTCTTGCTACATTGTGTTTGATAATTCAAAGAATTCTTGCACGGGAACATGTTAAATTTGGTTTATCAAAATTTAAAATTCTTTCTTAACTTGACAAGGGTCGCTTCATTCTGAACAGCTGCGTTTGAAAGCGGATTCATTATATTGGATGTTCACTTCAGCTACAAGTGGAGCTAACTGATTTAACCAACAGCAATCCAATGTAGAGCTTCAGTCCAATCAGTTCAAACTAAACCAGTTCAGTTCAGTCTACTCCAAACCTGTGACATTCCATCCAGTCCACTCCGGTCCTTTTTAGTCCTTCCCAATCTGGTCCAATCCGGTTCTATATGGTGGGTTCCAACGCAATCCAGCTTCATGCAGTTCAGTCCATTCAAGTAGAGAGCTGACTTCTGTAACCAGGTCAACTTGTATAAGGATGTGAAAGGAAGCGAAGAAGAGGGCTAACGCCCCCTTCTACTCTCCATTTCCGTCGCATACGAGTAGACTGGAGACAAGTCAGTTAGAAGACGCTGATGGAAGGCTAAAAAAAAACCCCGGTTTGTGAAATTCTTTGAGGTTTGGGAAGGAGGGGTGTAATATAGAGCTCTGGTTGAACCTTATCTCTAAATTCAAGCAGAAGTTGACAAACTTCTCATTCGGCGTAATCTTCCTTCGTTAACTTAGTTAGATTAGTTAGCGGGTCCCTGGGGCTGGTGTGGGTCCTCCCTCCAAATTTCTTTTCTTTGGGTTTTAACTTAGGTATGTTTTTCACATCGCTCTCGCTCGGTCGGTTTTCGGCTTATCTTCGATTATTCTTCGATTTTTATTCGTTAATTCTTCGGTATCTTCGCTACTACTTCGGAGCACTTCTTCAGCAAGACGTCGACTTGGTTTCACTCCGGCTTTCATTGTTTTTCGTGTCTCCCCGCTTTGTTTGCTTCAAGTGCGGCCAATTCTTGTCCAAGGTGTCGCCTGATTACAGTGCAGCTGAGCACTTTAATCGAGTGAGACTGATCAAAAAATTTTCGGCCTGAAGGTTCAACCAGATACTAACATAGACTGTAGGAAACTGGAGGAATCAAGCCATTCAACTGTTGGAAGCAGGTTGTTTTTGCCTCTCCTGACATGTTTAGTGGTTTGACTCTAGTTACAGGAAGTCAGCTGATAGTGGAGGCTCACTACTTTGAGCGTAGATCAGTTCTTAGTACTGACAACTTGCTAGCGTGGGACTATGGGACAATGCACACATGGTAGTTTAGACCGTTTACAAATTGTAAGCGTAGGCAACCTTCGACTACAAACAACAAGGAGAAGGAACAAGCTTTGGAGAAGGAACAAGCATCGAATTACTGAAAAGCAAATAATATGCGAATCGAAGATCAAACTTCCAACGTTGTTTCTTTTATGTAAATTTTCTACATTTTTTAAGTCATTACTGTAACTGTGAGTATCTTTCGACATTCTCGTGCCAAACTGCCGTAAAGGAGTCTTGAAGGCTTGCACATATTTTGCCAAAGCCTTTTGCATATAATGCACAGTGCATTCAATAATGGAGTTCGCCTTTTGTGGGTTTAGGAAGAAGAGCACCTAGAACAGATAGCATATAGTGTAAAATAAATAATAGTTATTTCAAAGATCAACGTTATTATGCTTGGAAAAGCATTGATGTTTGAAAAGCTATAAGTATATCTATAAGCGCATAGCCCCTTCCCACCTCCCATGAAAACTGAAATAAAGATTTTTCCCCACCCCATCGTCCTTACTGTCTATTAATCAGGGGGTCTGGACTGAGTATGACACGAAAGCTTATCGACTCGACAAATTCGGAAATTTTCGGTTAGCGGCAATTCATATCACTCGGCATTAATCACGTTTGAATTTGAAGTCAAATTAATTCATCAGTGTTTGTCTCGTCCAGACCCTCTGACCGCGTCCGAGGAGATCTTCACAGCGGAAACACTTCCATAAGGCTGATTTTTGCTACGACTTAAGCTAAAGTCTTGGTTGACATGCGCGAATGTAGGCGGAGAACTTTTCCACGAACTTAATTTTGAGTTGCATAAGCCATTTTTTATTTGAACGGGTAACGGCGTTTGCGTATGCCAACTTGGAATTGAGCTTGCGCCGTAGTGAAAACCGCCCATTACGCCGCAGTCACGGAGGAGACGCAGTCATCTTTCAGCAATCCATACAAGGTAAGACAGAAGGTGAGTGAGTAGTTAGAGTTCGGCTTACGGTTCGGCTTTCGGCTCGGATTTCACATCGGTGTTGCATTCGAATGCTCGGGAATAGTTCGGCTTTCCAATCGGAAGAAAGCTCCAAATGAGCATCAAGGCTTGGTAGCGACTCTTTAAGTCGTTTGCAAGCCGCTGAAGACAAAGGCATTAAAATACCGTCGGGGAGACCGAGAGTGTTCAAATGTTCGGGGTGTCGACATTTACTGACACAGGAACACTCGGAGTTTCTCTGGACGCCAAATTTTTCACAAATAGGTGCGCGTCCCTCCCTCCTAGGTGATGTGGATTAATTTAGGTCCTGTGGATTAACTTTAATTACCTATTATAGTATAAGGATGTAACATTGGATGACGAAAAAATAAATACTTAAAAAACTCAAGTGTCTCTGTGTGGTCTGAAGTAATATTATAGCACGCTATAACTCTTAGGAATAAGCAGCATAGGTTACTAACAAGTTTTAATTGCAGGTTTACTTTTCGTGTGAACTTAGCGTCGGACGAAAGTGCCACTTTCGGGGTACAATACTTGGTCATAAGAAGGCCCATTTTCGGGGGCATGTTAAGTTGCTCAGAGAAGGTTATTTCTCTTGCGGTATTTTGCGCCTAAATGCCAGGTTTTTCGGGAGGCATATGTGAAGATTTGACGTGTCCATTTTCGGGGACTGGCTCGTTGTCGGAACACTCTATGTTCATGCTCAGTATAAGCCCATTTTCGGGGGCTGTGAGCCACTGAACAGGTA